CTCACCATGTGCCCAAGGAACTTTCCGCCCTGAACAGCAAAGGTACATTTCTTTGGATTCAGTCTCAAATTTACCTTCATCATGATTTCAAAGACTTCTTCAAGGTCCCGGACATGGTCTCGGGCCTCTTTGGACTTGACAATCATGTCATCGACATAGGCCTCCATGGTCCGTCCTAAGACAGCCCTGAAAACCTGTGAAACCATCCGGGTATAGGTCGCCCCTGAATTCCTCAGCCCAAAAGCCATCACTAGATAACAGTACAAACCTTCCGGGGTCATAAAGCTTGTCTTTTCTGCATCTGCCGGGTGCATTCTGATTTGATGGTAGCCACTGAAGGCGTCCATGAAGCTCATCAATTCTGACCCGGCAGTCTCATCAACCATCTGATCTATATTGGGAAGTGGAAAAGGATCCATGGGACATGCCTTGTTCAGATCTGTGTAGTCTACGCACATTCTCCATGAAGGAGGCTTGGGCGCTAGGACTACATTTGCCAACCAGTCCGGGTATTGAACCTCCCGGATGTGCCCAATGCTCTGTAAAGTCGTTACCTCCTTCTTCACAAAGTCTCTCCGTTCCTGTGATAGATGTCTCCGCTTCTGCTTCACCGGTTTTGCATCCGGCAGAACATTCAAGCGGTGAACTGCAACCTTGTAATCCAGCCCGGGCATATCAGCTGGACTCCATGCAAAGACCTTTCTGAACCTCCTGAGGACTGAAATCACCCGTGATCTGAGTTCAGCCCCCAGGCCTTTACCAATTCTAACCAATTTCCCCGGCGTACCTGGTTCTAACTCTACTTCTTCAATGTCACCGGCAACTTCCACTCTAGGACGTTTCTCCTCGGCCCTGAGGAGTTGCGCGGTCACTTCTCCCACCTGGGAATCGTACTTGACTGGCTGTTTGGTTGCCTTCAAGTACCACGCCCGGGAAACTCTCTGTGATCCTCTGGCAATTCCAACTCCGTGCGGGGTTGGGAATTTGATGCACAGGTGACGTGGTGAGATAACACATTCCAAATCTTCCAACCCGGGTCTTCCCAAGATAATGTTCGTGTTGGAAATTATTCCCACTACAACAAACTCCATGTCCAGCTTCCGGGTTGCTTTAGTATCTCCTATCTCGACCGGGAGGGTTATCACCCCCTCCGGTTCAATAGAATCACCAGTGAACCCGGTCAGTGGAGTCTTGATGGGTGATAACTCATCCCTTGTCAGACCGAGAGCTTTGTATGTATCCATATACATGATATTAACGGGACTTCCCGTATCCACAAGGGTTTTATGGATCAGTAAGTCCATTATATCAATGGTGATGACCAAGGCGTCCCTATGGGGAACCCCGATCTCTGGGAGATCAGCATTAGAAAATACAATAGGCTCGGTTTTCAGCTTTTTACATTCCGGAACCAACACCTTGTTGACCATTGCCGCATTCGCCCATTTCTTCCGGCTTGTGGCCGAGTCTCCGCCAGTATTTCCTCCAATGATAAAGCTACACCCGTGGTGCCTCTTTTGGCGATGCGGTGCGGGTTCCGAATCTTCCTCTTCATCATCCAGCCCGATGTGGCGTTTCTCCCGGGTCTCAGCCTGGGCCACTTCCTTATCTCTGCGTTTCCCATTCTGGGTATTCCTGGGATTTCCGGCGTCACCGTCTTGCATGAACTTCTTCAGATGACCCCGGCGGATTAGCCTTGCCATCTCATTCTTCAAAGTGTAACAATCTTCCGTGTTGTGGTCGTTATTGCGATGGTAGGCACACCATTTCCCCGTATCTTCCACGTTGCAGACTTTCTGAGAATAAGTTGGGTAGGTCATAAGCCCCTGCTGCCCAGCATGGGCCATGACCTCAGCCACCGGCAACGTGAAGACTGGATTGGCAGATTTATGCTTCTCCGAGGTCCCTGGACTGGCGCCCTTTGGGCCATCTGGGAAGCCCTGCTTTTTGTTCTTGAACAGCTTCTTATTCCCCTTCTTTTCTTCCTCTTTAGGGGTCTTCTCTTTTTTCTCCTCCTTTCTTTCTTCCAGGGTCACATACCTTCCTGCCCGGACCATTGCTTCTTCAAATGTGTCCGGGGGATGAGTAGTGAGATCGGTATGAAGGAGTCCATCCTGTAGTGCCGCCGTAAACATGGCCAACCTAGATTTGTCATCAGTTCCTTCAACCTCCCTGGACTCTTTCCTCCATCGGACAAGAAAATTCTTCAAGGACTCCCTGTGCTTTTGTCGTACCGAGGCCAAGTGAGTGAAATGCTTCTTGGGGCGGCAGTTCCCGGCAAAATGCTCTAGGAATCGTAGTCCCAATTCGTCCCAGGTCCGGATCGATCCGGTAGGGATATGGTTGACCCAGTCTGCAACTTTGCTATCAACGGTCTGCAAGAAACACCGACACATGAGTGCGTCACTGGCATCTACAGCGATCATCACTTGGACATAGCTATTTATATGCTCCTGGGGATCTGACTCGCCGTCGTAACGCTTGACAAACGACATTTTAAATCCCTGCGGATATGGTTCCGCAAAGATCTCCGGAGCCAAAGGAGTATTCGTTCGGGTGGTGAATACTCGCCCCTTGTTTATCTTCTTCTGCATCTCCTGGATCTGCTGTCTCAGGTCTTGAAATTCACCAGCTTCCGGCACCGGCGGTCCTAGACGCCGTGGTGCCGGGACCCTGGCCTGGCTCTGAACTTCATCCTCCTCCTGATTCCGTAAGGACTGAACCAGCACTTGGCTCGCACCACGAGCATTTCGCTGCCGTGGTTCACGATTAGAGGACGCCACCTGGCTGACTTGGGGTCGTACCCAACCCTGGGGTGCCTTTTCCGGATTCTTCCCCAGCCTCTCACTAACGTGAGCTTTCTGGCGAGATATCCTTTCGAAGACAGATCCCCGCGGGTTTTCGCGTTCATCGACAAAGATCCGGCTTGGGTCCCTGGCCTGGCCTTCATTCACCTTGCTATTCTGAGCCATCTCCTCTGCCCGGCGTCGGTTAACATCTTGCCTCTCCCTTTCAACGTCCTCCGGATCATGGAGCTCCTGGAGGACAGGAGAGCTTGCCGTACGCAAGACCTGGCGAGGTTGCCCAGCTGGGACGTTTCGGGTTCCGGATGGTCCCGGAAGAGCCTTATCTAATCGTTCCATAATGTTGGCCATCATGTTAGCCACATTATTTAATGCCGTCTCCAGCCCATTGACAGGAACGATCATCCCTTGTCCAGGGTTATAACTCCTAACCGTCGATTGGGCAGAAGTAGGAGGGTTACGTCTCGTCCTTCGTCCGGCCATAATCTCACAGCCTTATCTCACAATAAGCTCTCAATGGAAGCACCAATGATGGGATTAACCCAATCAGATGGCGGACCAAGAACGAAATATGAATTAAGGAAATATAATCACACAATAATATTCTTTGGTTGAATTGTCTTGTTGTGACTTGGATTACAATGGCGGGTTTTCCCCCCTATTTATAGTACTTTTAATATTGTAATTATAATTACACAAAAAATAGAAATAGATCATGGAGATCGTGGGGTTGTGATTCCCCCGCTTTCCGGTCTCGTACTCTTCCCATTTCGCCCACAACTTGAGGTTGTGGGCCACGCGTCCCACTCTTCCTTTGGACTGAGTCACTTTGGTCCTCCTCACGTTTGGGCCGTCTCCTTCCATTCATCAATGCGGGATACTAGCCCGTCATTCTATCTGATTTTATTCCTCTTGGGCCGTTTTGAGCCGTTAGTTGGGCCTGGAGTCGGGTCTACTAGACCCGATATCCATCAATATTATTATATATTTATGTTATAATATATTTCAAAATTTGAATACATTATATTATTAATATTATAAATTTATCATATTATAATATTCTAAAATTCTAATAAAGTCCTATCTTTTTTATCAATATAAAAATATATTAAAACATTGAGGGAGTATGGAAGAAGGTCCTTAGACATGGGCATTGTGAACCGAGGGCGTTCTAACAAAGGTAAAGCTATCTCCACATCCGAAGGTTTGAGCCCACGTGCTTTTTCATGAAATACATTGAGTCTCTTCTTTTCCTAATATCCTCATCAATTCATGAAGGATGTAACACCATGAAATATACTCTAAAAGTTACTTCGTATAATGAATATCTAATAAGATATACCTCTAATAATAATATACGAATTTGGGTAATGCTAGGGGTACACCAACATGGGGTACCCCAAGTGTACACCAAGCCAACACAGACACACACAGACACAAAATGTCTGTGCAACACAGACACTTTGTGTCTGTGTGTGTCTGTGTTGGCTTGGTGTACATTTGGGATACCCCATGTTGGTGTACACCTAGCTTAATTCTTTTAGGAGGGAGTAGTAATTATATCATCAGTATCTTCTTCACACATATGTTACAACTGAATAAGTTGGAT